TCAGTCTCAGGCAGCGGATGTGCTGTCTGTATTTTATTAAAATAATTCTCACGATTATGAAAACGTGACACCATCACACAAATGACTATAACTATCTGAAGAATACATAGATAAATTTAAAATTATAATTGACACTGGTATATATGTTAAAGATCCGTAGATCGTTTATTATTAATAAATAACAACAGATCATTTAAAAAACAAAACCGAAAAGACANACAGATCATTTAAAAAACAAAACCGAAAAGACAAACGCAATTAATTATAATGTTCGCATAATATCGAGGCACTTTCGATGTTGTCGGCGACGCGGTGTCTGACATGGTCCTCGGACATCAAAACTAGCAACGTTGATAGCGATGGTGCCTTCAATAATTGATAAAGTTTCCATCGTTCTTCGTAAATGGGGAATATCCCCAAAAATTTTACAAATTTAAAAATTGGTAATTTTCGTCATTTTGTCAGATTTTTTTCTTAGAAATGCCATAATTTGTGGATTCCAAATGATAACTTCCCAAAAAAAACTTAAAATAAACTGTATAATACTACGACAACAGGTACATACTATATATTTTGAATAAAAAACGACCGAACAACCCGTGCAGCTCTCACACTTGGCGCGAACAATTATATTAATCTAATTGACATAGCATAGAAAGTCAAACTTATTTAATTATATTTGCTATTTTTAATTCGAGAAAAATAACTTCGAACTAGCTTGAATCGTTAATTTTTATCCACCAATCAATAGCAACGTACGGTTTCCGAGTTAGTAACATTTGTGTCTTTAACGCTTGAGGACCAAGTTCAAACCCGCCCATGGCAAAGTAGAAATTTCTTATTCATATTAAAATTATTTTACTATGTGGTTTTTTTTTTTTTGTGATTATCATTTATTTTCTCAGCTATCATTTGACCAAATTTTTAGCGATACGTCAAATTATCACAATTATTATCTAGCTAAAGATATTACCTTCCAATGTTGAAAAAAAGTCCCTTTTATCAAATATCAAAATTGTTCTACCAGCTATCTCCATACAGACAATTAAAATCATTAGTTTATAATATTTTTAAAGTATTCATTGCCAAATTAGGTTTGATATAATAATAGGTTTCTACTACAAAATTAAATAATTATATAATTAAATAATTTACTTAGAAATTTATTATTTTTTTAACTCTATTTGTGTGTTATACTATCAGTATATAATATTCCAAATTTTGTTGTAACATAATTCTATATAAATCATTTCTAAAAAAATTGGTTTTTAATTTCACCGGAATGTAATAATCGATTTTTACTTTTATAATGAAATTTTATAATATGCTCAATTAAGTAGATTTTTTTAAAAACTACTATATTAAATTATTGAATATTAATTTCATACTATATTTAATTACTATAATTTGTATTTATTCATATACTATACTTTTAAATCATAGAACAACCTATCAGTATATAAATAAGGAAATAGGAGTTATTGTTGGTTTTGTAATTATCCACCAATTTCTTAGAATTGAACACTATCTACAGATTTGCCCCAAAGCGTTTCTTATGATAGTGATTTTAATTATTGTCAGATATCATCTATACTTGTCCCAACTATGCCACGGCAATACTGTACCGCGACCCCATTGTGCTACAGTTTTTAAAATTATGATAATTTTTTAGAACTATTGATTATATTAAATATGTATCAAATCAAAGCTTTTAAAAATAACCTAATGATTAAAAAAAAAATCTCTTAATGCTATGAAATTTTTTTACTAAGAAGTAACAAACGTATGTAGGAGGCTCAACTCAAAAAAAATAAATCTTCAAAAAAAAAATCTACTATAATATCTTTGAGCACATTCCTTTTCAAGCTTTTTGTGATAGTAATATTAACCACTGTTAAATTTTAAACAATATCGTTTCGATTGTCCATGATCCATGCTGTACTGTCTTTTTTTTTATAGGGATTAATATATCCAGCATTAGCAGTAATTACATTTGATCAAGTTATTAGTTATTTGTCATCCACCAATTTACCACATGCACAAGTTAAATTCCAAAATTGCATGGCTAATTTAAACATAAATGATTTTGAACAAATAAATAATGGTAAGACATTACAAAAACTTTGAAATTCTTATGTACTAAAAATAATTCAATATACGTTGTTCATCAAATTTGTAAATAAAGCTTATTTTTTTTAATTGGCAATAATATCAATTGAGCCACTATATTTTTACAAAAAAAAAAAAATTACAAATAATCCTAAAATTCATTTCAAAGCCTTAATAAAAGTCTAACACAAATGCCAAACATCTTTGCAACATTATAACCTAATTAGTTTTGTAAAATATGTCAATTATTCTAATAAATATAGTAAAAAATAGGAAGCATCATGAAAATAGTACTCTAGTATTGTTATATTAAAAAAAAACTAACCATAATTATTATATAAATGTGTTAATTTTACTTGAATAAATTTATGAATAATTATAATAATTTTTTATTAAAAAAAATATCATTTAGCCACCAAGTACTCTTTTTCTATATTATCGAATGACATTGTTTTATGATCAACTAAATTCTTTTGCCAAAATAAAAATAAACGAAAAAAGTCAATTTATTTAGCATCACTTTTATTTTTATGTAATTTTTGTATTTTATAGTTGCATTTATTTATTTTAAATAGTATTTTTGTGAACTGCCTTTTTGCTGCCTAATTGTAATTGTGTAATTTAATAGTATATAATATATACTATATATTAATCGTGAGAACGGAAGTCCCTTTGTCTTGTGTATAAAGAATCAACTAGGCAAGTATCTAGTCCTTCTAGAACATTCGATGCTGAGTCTATTTTAATGCATTTTGCTATTATAGTATTGATTATTATTTCGTTTGAGTCATAAAGTCAATTATAAGTGTAAATATATGTATAAATATAATAAATAGCAATTAATATTTATACGCATTATCTCTTCATTTTGTCTACCGTACCAATCCAGTCACAACATTATTAATTTTTAAATGCATTATTCAGATGTATAATTTATTTATCAATATTAATTTGTAATTTTACAGACGAAATTAATACATTTTTAAATACATTGAGTGATAATATCATTTCCCGTCGAATTTATCCAGAAGAAATGAGTCAAGAATTTATTGAATTTTTTAAATTAGATAAATTTATTATTAAAGATAAGTTAAATGAATGTTTTAAAATATTCCAGTCAAATTTGTTTGCAATAAAAAAACCCAAGGTACAAAATAAAATTTTAATATTTATAATATTTAAATGTTTTTAGGTATTTCTAACAATTCAAAAAAAAAAAAAATTACATTTTAGAAATTCAATTTCTTGCAAATTGACAAGAATATAAATGTATACTTCATATTATTTCATCAAGATATTTTTACATAAATAATTATTAAAGTAAAAATATCTAGTTAATTATAATTAAAAAAAACATTTTGTGATTTTTTTTCTGAATCATAAAATTATATTATTTATCAATATAAAATTATAAGTCCATTTTAACTTAACTGTAATTCATTTAAATTTGTTATTATTCCAAAAGATTTCGCTAAATTACAATATAAAAATATGACAACTATAAAGAAATTTATTTTATATTGATTCGCTAATACATCTTTTTTGTTATATTATTAAATTTAAATTAATTTTATAAGCAAAAAAAGCGTAGTAAAGATTTAAGGTTTACAATTTTACTCAAATATCCGTAGGAATTTAATATTATCAGTTTTCTCATTCATACCACATATTCATCAAATTACGATATAAATATTTACATTGTATTGGTCTTTTTAATATGTCTTCTTAATTATAAAAAACGCCTTTAGTATGAGAATAGTGACGATTTGGAATCAGTGCTACGATCGCGTATTCATCAAGCATGTAAAATTCTGCAAGACTGTAAAAATAAGTATGGAATAAATAAATCATCAGATATGAGTAATTAAACTTTAAACACTGACTTTTCAATATAAATGAATTAGCTAATAGCTTTATTATGTTTTAGATCATTACGAGACAGTACCAAATGATTACTTAAAAGAATTTCAAGAATCTACAATCGAAGATATAACTAAAATTGTTTCTGGTGAACATACTCCATATGTCGGCATTCTTGGTATAAATTACTTCCATTTTGCATACAACGAAAATCCTTTTATAATGCATTGTTGTGTTGTTTATTACACATATTTGGTGACAGATGATTCAACTTTAAATCAAAATTTGGGAACTAGTGATAGAACTCAATGAATTCCTAGGGAAATCTATGGTATCCGAACTTCCATCTATCAATTTTTTTAATGTATTAGAAATGTTTTTAACGATTTTTGACATCAGTCATAATTATTATTTTCAAATCAAAATTTAATAATGATCATTATATATGAGTGTATTATTTTTCAATTTATTACTTTAATTATAAATATTTACAGTATGTATAATAAAATTTAATAAATTAAAAATTAACGCGTTAGATTATTATTTTTGAGAAGGAAGTTTCACAGGTAAAACCGATATATTTTGTAACATTATTATGAACTTTTCAAAATTTTAATAATATATTGTTATCCGATGAATGAGGTACATTATCGCTGACAGCCGTCGACAATATGATATTAATAATGAAATTTCATTCGCTAATTCGAGATTTGTTATCATTTCAATTTTTAAAATATCTCTAGTTTTCTTAGAGTCTCCTTTGAATTACAAAGATGTTTCGATTGCCAATTAAATATGAAAATAAACATATAAAAGGTTATGCAATGTGATCATTACATATGTCAATGACCGATGGATAGTATTGGTGTATCTCTAACTACAGTGGGCATTTAACCATCCGCTGTGTTCATGGCCACCGGAAATTCGTTAATACCGCTCACTCCTAACTCCTTAGTTGGGTTGTACGGCCAACCAAAAGGTCCATGTGGCTACCGTAGATCACTGATGACAAGATAAGATTTGTAGACTTCCTTGCAGTTTATTCACAACAAAACAAATACGAGCATACAATTGCTGTGAGGTTGTTAGTCAACTTCTTCTGGCACACTGCCTTCGATCCGCTGGTTCTGTTCTTTATATCACACCGAATNACAGTATAAGGGAAACACACGAACACCGTGTTAAGTATAAACTGTAGGATCAGTTTATTTTTAATTCTAAATATAACAATATTATTCTAGCGATCCCTAGGGTGATCTTGGAAGCTGAGGCTTTTTATTCTAATTGGTTAATTAAAATGAATGCCCTGCGTGTTACTTAATAATCTTTACAATAAGTAGATTTTATCCCATAATTAACTGGTCATTTTGTAATTTAAATGAGAGAACCCTGTTTTGGTGATCTTGTATATTCATATAATGTGACATACATTTACAAATGATAACATAATATTATATGTTAATATTAGAAGTAATAATATAATACTATAGAAAGATGACGTGTGGTAAGCAGATTTAGTATACATGAAAAAATATTTGACAAAAAATAAATATTTTACATTTATTTGAAAGATTATTGATGTTTATACAAAATATGCATGGCTGTGCCTTTAAGAAATAAATTTGGTTCAAAAGTAATGTCGGCTATTTAAAAATGTTCCGATCAATAGATCTCCAAAGAACTTACAAACATTTTCAATCGCTTATGAAGAAAAATATAAACTATTATTCAACCAATTGTACAATGAAAGCGGCTGTTGTGGAACAATTTAATAGAACACTAAAAGAAAAATGGTGGTAAAAATTTACCTTCATCACACAATTGGATAAACATTATAGCGGATTTAATAGTAAATTACAATAATATAAAAACCATAGAGCCATAGAATTAATTCTTAATATAGCATACCGTGATCTTGGAAATTTCAGCTTTAAACTGCTACCTAATTTAAAATACAATAAAAAGTACAATATTTGAGATAAAGTTCATTTGAGTAAGCATAAAGCAATATTTTCAAAAGGATATACACAGAATTGGACATCAGAATTCTATACAACCGCAAAAATTCGTACTACAAAACCTATCGTGTACGAACTTGACATAAGTGTAAATTAGTAGACTTTAAAATCCGATTGATCGAAATAATGGAATGTTCCAACTACAAATTTACTTTTGAATAAAAGTTGATAAGACCTATAATTATGTGGTCGTGAAGCTAATGTTTCAACTTAAATAGTTATAAATCATCGGTTATTTTAACCATAGTATTGCCCATGATAACATGCTTATCTTTCACATACTTTAAACCGTAAAGAGGGTCCATTTCTAACAACCGTTTTGAAAAATCATCTTGCTGCATGCTGTTGGAAAACGAGCATTTTTTTTAAACAAGTGGTTTATGATAAACCGAACACACTGTATGTATTGATGACGTGATAATAATAATGTTAATAAAAGA